GTATATGGGGTGGTGGGGTGACTGGCTCTGAGTATTTGATTATATTACTTAACCTCAACTTCTTATAAAAGAAAAATGTATGGGTTTGACTCATTTCTTTCAGCTCTGTAGCTCAGAGATGTGAAAATGACATGATTTACCCTTGCACTTAGAACCATATCTTGCTTGCATATATGCCCTTTATCTGGCCCTCAGATTATGTAGGGAATGAATGATTTTACAGAGCTTTGCTGTATCTGGTATGAGGTCTGGTGCAAGTTGGGGAGGGGTTCTGTGATGACAATTTTACAGGTTAGACACAGGGATGTCTAGAACACAGAGCCATAGCCCAACTGGCAGAAAGTCAGTAATTTGGTAATATCAGAGGAAGCTTTATTTGGGCCCACATTTATTGATATTTTCTATGCAGACACAGCCCAATTCTTAATAGTTTTAATTTTGGTTGGAGAAAACATCTTATACGGGAAAAATAATGTATATGTGTACAAAGGGGAAAGGAAATGTGTATGTTAAAAAGGTAATAAATGTGCCGAAAGTCTAAAGAGATAAGATTTCTGACCTCACCCTCCTCCTGCCATTTCTGCATCTGTGCTCCATACACTTTGTAAATATCTCCTTTCTGGCATTTCCATGCATTGGATGTATTTCGAAGTTTCATGCCAGTCTACCCCACTTGGTTGTGAATTCTGAGTTTGTATCTCTAGTTGCTACCATAGTCCATGCTAGATAATGACTTGTTGAGTAATTGCAAAATGCTGATTTTGGAGATTGTGCAGGATTAAGAGATGTATGTTGTGTGCATGCCCATCAGCGGCTCAAATGGTCCTTTTATTTTCTCAAGGTCCCTGGGGCCCTAGGAAAAGGTATCTTAAACTTGCATGGTACTGATTTTTAGGCAACTTCTTAACTAGTTTCAGACTTTCTGTGTTGCAGGATCTAGTTCTCAGATAACCAGAGAGTGGCCTACTTGGGAAAGAAGGTAACAATTCCTGTGCCCATCAGCTAGGATTTGAAAACAGGTCCAGTTCTTTAAGTAGACATTTCATTCAGGGATGGGGCTTCAATTTTCAGGAATCCTTTATTATTATATTACTAGAGGCCCAATGCACGAAATTTGTGCAAGAGTAGGCCTTCCTTCCCCCAGCTGCCGGCATTGGCTTCCCTCTGGCCCCAGCTTCATCGGGAAGGACATCCGGAATGATGTCCAGAATACGTCCGGTCTAATTAGAATATTACCCTTTTATTATTATAGACTAGAGGCCTGGTGCATGAATTTGTGCATGGGTGGGGTCCAGCCAGCACACCTCAGTCAGGATGGGGGGGCCGATTGGGGGTGGGGCTGGGGAGAGGGACCATGGGCAGTTGGCCAGCTGGCCCTGCCCCCTGGTTGAACTCCCAGTTGAACTCCTGGTCGAACTCCAGGTCGAGGGGACAATTTTCATATTAGCCTTTTATTATATAGGATCATATATTTAAATGAAAATACGTGTAATACATTATATGTAACATGTAGATGTATATGCATGGATGTATATATGTATATATTTTATATATAGATATATAAAACTAAGAGTGAAAGGGTTCTCGCTTTTCTTCCCCTTCACTTTCCTCCCATCATTTAAAGATGGGCTATGTGTAAGGAAAGAACATTGGATGAGACATCAAAGACATGGAGTCTTTTCATGGCTTTGCTTTAACTTTGTGACTCTGGGCAGTTTATTGCATCTCTTTCCTCAGCCTTAGGGTGATGGGTTTGACTAGGTGGTATCTCAGATAAACTTTTGCTGCTCTATTATTCTGTAGATTTACCATCTATTATAGTAACTTAAAAATATCCTCACCTGAGGACATATTCTTATTGATTTTGAGAGAGAGAGAGAAACATCAATGGGTTGCCTCCCAAAGGCACAGTGACCAGGGATCAAACCCTCAACCTTTTGGTGTATGGGACAATACTCCAACTAACTGAGCCATCCGCCGAGACCTATAGCAACATTTAAATAAAGCATGTGCTTCTCTGAGTTGCTCTTCAAAGAAACACAATACAGGAAGACCTAGGGCATATGCGGAGGTTATGGAAGGGAAAGGCCTTGAGCAACAGGCAGTCACATGCTCCTGGGCAATGCCTTCTGATTTCTGAGGCTCACTTTTTCAATTTGGAAAGTGTAGGAAGTGGCCCACATGCCATCTTAGGCCTCTGTGGGCTTTGGTATAGAAATCTAGGTGCACAGGGACATGGGCAAAGGTCAGCTAATTGCAGAGAATGATTGTTTTGACACTGTGTCAAAACAATTGATCTCTACTTCTATCATCAACTCATATGCCCTGGTAATATTTCCATTTCAGAATCACTTTCCCGCTAATAACAATAATCCGATATAAAGGGTAGCAGAAGACTTAATGAAATGCGGCTTTAACAGGTCTTGCAATGATGAATAACAGAAGAAATGTTTGTGGCCAATCAGAACATTCCTCTTGGGGGGATGGGGGTGGAAGGGAGGTTACTTGGATCGGAGGGGAGTGAATTACCTATTCAGAATCATACTGAACCCCATCCAGAACATGGGCCAGGATGGGAGTTGGGGGGTCTTCGAACCCAGTCTCCCTTGCCCTACTTCACTGCAGCATTTCTATGAAAAGTGTGAGGAGTGAACAAGCTCAATGGCAGAACTCAAAGGAGCAGCCAACCCAGGCAGCCAGTGGCTGATGTGGTTGTGAGGGGCTCTCCCCCATCACTACCAAATCATTCCCCAAACCAGATGTCCAAAAACTCTCCCATAAAACGTGACAGTCAAGAGTCCTCTCCGAATCAAAGTGCTGAGAAAACTCTACCCAAAGTCTTTAGGCAAAACCGCCTGCAAACCTTGCGGAATCCACACCCGTCCTATATTGTCCTATAATGTCCTATAATGTAGACATGTCCCTGAGGAGTTCCGTTCCTCAGTTGTGGATACAGATACCCAAATACAGATGCCCAAAGAGATTAAAGAATCACTAGGGTTTTTATGAACTGAAGACATTCTGCCTCATCCTTTCCACCACCTGAACAGGGATCTGCTTGCCAGTTAGCATTTGTCATCTCTCTGTGTCTCTCCCCTAATCAAGTATCCAATTTTTGTGAATAACGAGAAAATGCACATAAGCATCTAAATGCATACATGTAGCTTAACAAAAAATAAACCCCTGAAAGTGAAATGTAATTACCAGGTTACAAAAAAAAAAAAAAAATGCACCCAGGTTGCAGAGCCTATCACATCTCGCGCCTCCCCCCAAACACTGCCCCTGTTGTGTCAGATAGTAGGCAGTGTTGAGCCCGACAACGGACGCCGAGCCCGC